GGCCCACGCCTGCTGTGACTGCATGCTTTTCCCAGCTGGACGGGCCGGCTGTTCGGCAGATCGGGCCTGCGTTTTGGAGCAACACATGCGCATTGCTTTGCAGTGGACTCGGCGAACACCCATGGCACGCTAGTCTGCCCCCTGGGAATCGCGCCACCGCTTCCCTTGAAGCCATCTCACCGCTCATCGCCAGCATGAGGCGCGTCGTTCCCACCCCTGATCGCCCCCCCTCCTCCAAACCCCTTGCCAGGCGGCGGCGCGTGGCAGTCCGCCTTCCACGTGGTGCCCACCCCCGCGGGCCCCGTCCACGCGCTGCTGCTGCAGCTGACCGCGGAGGACGGCGGCCCCCACGGCGTCGCCGCCATCGTCAAGGCGCCGGGAAACAGGTGGCTCGGCGACGCGGCGACGCGGCGCGACTTCTTCATTGACCTGTCGGCTTTCCCGAGGTCCGAGGCGCTGGTCCTGCCCAAGGAGGGCGCATCCGAGGAAGGCGCGGCCGCGGCGTCGGCGGCGCTGCGCGAGCCGGCGCTGCGGCTGCTGTCGGCGCTGTCGATGAGGGACGCGTGGGCGCCGCTCTCCGCGGCCGAGCTGGCGCGCGCGCCGCCGCCGCGCGGCGCGGGCGCGGCAAAGGCGGCCGTGGCGGTGGCGGCCAAGGAGCGGCGCGCCAAGGCGGCAAAGGCGGGGCTGCCCCGCCAGCCGGAGCTGCCGCCTCCGTGGGCGGAGGGCCCGCCGCGCGACAAGACGCAGGTGGTGACGCTGGGCGGGGACCAGCTGGCGGCGGCGGCGGTGGCGCGGCTGGTGGAGTGGGCGGCGAGGCAGGAGGGGCGGAGGCCACTGGGCGGCCCTGAGGTGTGTAGGGCTCGGGGGTGTGGGGGGCTCGTCAGGGAGGGCCTGGTCGTGTGCTTCGGGGGCATGCGCATGCTGGGGCATCACTCGCGTCACGCGCTCGTGCTGCTTGGTTGTAGGGGCTGCCGCTCGCATAACCGACCTAAACACGATTTAAATAAGCATGTAAGTCACCAACACCCCCTTTCTCCCCCGCTTCTGTGCCATCAACCGTCGCTGCATCCCCCCCTTGCGACCGCCACCTCCCTCCTTCCAGATCCTGCAGCTCAAGATCGACGGCTTCGCCGCCCCCCTGGCTGCCGCCATCCTGCCCCTCGGGCCCGCCGACGCCGCCGCCGCCCACAACGGGGCGGCCCACGCCAACGGGGCTGCGGCAGGGGCCGGGGCCGGCGTGGCGGACGGCGGCGCTGCTGACTGTGCGCTGCCGCCCGGCCCTGTGGTGGCTATCTCCATGGTGGCTGATGAGGGCCTGGCGGGGGTTCCCAAGGGCCTCGTGCTGCAGTGGTGGGG